CAACAATCCATCATATTTATTTTCATATATTACTTACTTCATATACTCTAATTCCATTTGTCAAACATGTTTGACTATTTCTAATCTTGTCAAAAATAATTATTGAAAAAATTACAATATTATACCTTATCATTAAATCTGAAAAATTGAATTTGCTGACATTTCTGAAATTGGTTAAACATTAAAATTTGAAAAAGATAGAGATAATTTAAAATACGAAAAATCAAATGACTACGGGATTAAAAAAAGTGCTTATCAATCAACAAAATTGAATAAAATACATAAACTAAGTAATATTCTTTAGTACTTTTCGGCTAGTTCAATTATTTTGGTTCGGTTATGATACGAATTAGGTTGTGGTAGTTTAGTATAATAATTTATATATCCATTCACACTATTATATATTTTGGTCCAAGTTCGGATTGTTCAATTTTGATTTGGTTAGATTTATATATTTTGTTTATCCTTTGGTGAAACACATTATTATAAAAAATAATCGCAAATTCGGATATACACAAACCAATCTCGAATTTATTATAATAATTTTGGCCATAGTTGACATAAAAATTATGCAGTAACTATAGTTGATTATTTTAACTAGAACTATACAAATTTTTATTATAAATATTTCACTCCGCATACGGTAAAAAATATCATATTTTTAATTTTAAATAAACTACTTTACATATATTATTTTGCACCGGGCCTAACCTAGTAAAAATAATAATACGAATATATCTCTTTTCTTTCTTTGTTTTTGTCGAACACGAATATATCCTTTGTTTCTGAGATGGGTGATAACGTTTGAGGAAAGCACCTCGGACTGGGTTTCGTCGTTTTCATAATCATTTAAGTCTTACTACTTGAACGAAAATCAAAAACCTGCAAGAAAGAGTGGTCTTACTCAAGTGATCAGCTTTTATTTCTCCTTTCTGTCTTTTGTTTTCAAGATTTCTCGTTTGAACTAATTATTTTTCATTTCGGTTTGCTTGTTTAAAACAATGGCTATAATAAGTTATATTCACTAATGTAATTTTATTAGTAATTTTAGATTAAACGGGACATGTATTATTATACTTCAACTGTTTAATAGTCTGTGTAAAGTGCAATTTAATCATTCAGTCATACACATTTTAGCTCACAAGAGGAGTGTTTTGTTTGCCATTTCGACCAGTTATTCAATAGTGACTTGAGCATGGTTCAGCTTCCAATTCCCCTATAGTTTACAGGCCAATTTTATCACAAGACAAGTAACTTGCTTAATCAACTCCAAACACTCTTCCAATTTGTTATTATGGTCATGACTTTCTCTGTACTTAGCAGAAGCATTCATCAAGGTGGTTTGTCCGGAGTTTGTCACTGGTTCTTGTTACATGACATTTCGGATGATTTATGTATTTTTTTCTGTATTTTGTTTTCATGATTTTCTCAAACGTCAAAGTCCAATCAACACATATTTAGCTAATCATAGGAAACTGGCTAAATAAAATTATAAAGTCGTAAAAACAACTAGTCACAGATAATTTTTAGACCGGCGAGAACTATCCTTTAGATAACAAGCCCCAGAAACTTCCATAGCGGGGAGAAACCTTTTTAAAACATCAATGAACCCTCAAACGCATCGTTCACAAGAGAAGAGATACGCCTCTGAGACTATTCTCTGGATAAGATGCTCCAGAACATGAGACTAGACTAGCTGCACTGCTGGCTCTGATCTGGTGTGGTAAAATGCAAGGTAGTGGTGGCCCATGAGTCAGCTTGCAGTGGATCATTTCAAAACCATATTAGCTCCTGTAGATCACCACAATTCACCCCTTGTGGATTCGGCAAGTAACTGGTTTAAGATGTTGTCCTGCAAGTTTAAAGCTCAATGTTGAATGTGAAAGCTCCAAGTTTCTAAATCGTCGATTACTATGGTCGTCTTCTAAATCTTGTTGAAAAATAATTGTTGTTCTAATCATTTATATATACATAAGTCATTCTAAATGATTTGTTCTTCTTGTAAGTGTCTTCTAATCGTCGATTACTATGGTCGTCTTCTAAATCGTCGATTACTATGGTCGTCTTCAACAACAACTAAAACGGAATGACTATCGACGATTACTATGGTCGTCTTCTAAATCTTGTATTTCCTTATTCAAAGATCCTCATACTCTTGTATAAATATAGAGCCTTAAGAGCCTAATAAAGAACACAAGTTCTCCAATACACAATTTTGTCATAGACTAAAAGGCAATCCTCCCTGATCTCATTCTACTAGATCAAACAGCAGGTTGGAAACATTATCCTAGCTGCCGGGATAGTCAATGGCTATCATTTGAACAGAGGCCTGTTTTTCGATAGTTATGTGATTATTGGAAACAATCCACAAAATTCCAGCCTGGATATTCTTTCCATAATTGTTCTCAGAACCTATAATCACATCAACTACGTGTGGGAAGAGTTTCTTACTAGGTAATGGTAGCTCTGGTGGCCTAGGAGAACCAAACATCTCATAAACTAAAACTGAAGTTGAAGAATTCTTAGAATGCTATATTCACCGTGAACGCAACAGAGTATCAAATCTATTTTCTTTTCTTTCCGAGGTCTCCACCCTTTGAACTTGGTCAAAATAAAAACAAATATTTCGGCCTCAAGATTAGACAACATTTTAATTCCGACAAAAAGAGAGAACTATTTCACAATAGTTGTCTTCAATATTTTAAGTGAGCTTTTTCTC